GGGCAATTTATTAATATTTATTTGAATGACATGACAGCTTCATTTTCAATATCTAGTGCTCCAACGATGCTCTCTAATGAAATTGAAATCACCGTTCAGAGAAGTAATCACCCTCTTACACAGTAGGTAAATCTTGAGTTAATAGTGTAACTTTATGACATTTTCAGTTTGCTTCATGATTCAAAAATTGGAGATGTCATCCAAGTTTCAGGACCACAGGGCAATTTTTATTTCAATGTTAGTGATCTACGGTTTGAAAATATCAAACATTTAGTTCTTATTGCTGGTGGCCTTGGTGTCACACCCTTAATATCGATCATGAAATACATTTCTGGAAATATGCTCTATTTCTATCATGTCACATTAATATATTCTGCAAGTACGGTTGATGATTTTTGCTTTGTGAATGATATTTCAAATATTGTCAGCAACTTTCCGAATATCAAGTGTAAACTTTTGGCCTCAACATCTCCAACCAGCTCAATACCACAAGCACTAGAGCCGATATTGACAAGTGACAGAAAAATTGATGTCCATTATTTGAAAAATAATTTGAATGAAGAACAACGAAAAGAGGCAATATTCTTTGTATGTGGTCCAATCAGTATGGTCAAGGATGTTTCAGCAGCTCTTCAAGAATTATCTGTAGACATGGATAGAATATATCATCAATAAATGATGAATTAAGAATACGTCGTTCGAATAAGGAAGAAACCATCAAAATCTAAATTTCGATCGATGGATATAAAAATAGTCTTCAAATAAATAAAAAAAAATGAAAAGTACTAAACGATCTTCATCCTCTCTTCAAAGCGTGATCAAGCCTTCCATGATGGTTTCTCCTCCATCTTCATCCTTATCAGACGAGCAGTCCCGAGATGAATCGGAATATTCAATAAATTCAATTACGTTGGATTTGGAAAAATTATGCGAGTCTATACAAACGACTGCCATGTTATTGGCCCGTATCGGAACTGCTGAAGACAGCAAAGAAATACGAACTGAAATTCAACAATTAAAGAAATATACACAAAATGTTATTCAAGACATTGAACACCGATTGATTAATTTGGAAGTAGAAAATCCAGATCAACAATTTTTGAAATTCAAAACTGATTTTAACCGTCTGAAACAATTAAGAGATGAATACTTTAAAAAGAAATTAAAACAATTAGAATTGAAATATCCAAAGACGAATTTGAAAAACAAAAGCATACCAACGAATCCTCTTGTTGCTTTATATAAAAAGCATTGGAAAGAAACACAGAACGCTTTTTGTGACAAGTATGGAATTGATCCAATGGTATTTGCCTCCTGGTTAAGCGGAATTGCCGAAAGCAAAGAATCAGAAAATGCTGTGAGGAAATTTATTGCGTCAAAAGAACAATCAGAACAGAAAAATCCATCTGAAAGAGAAGAATTATTTACAATTTTAAACTCACAAGAAAATTCTTCCATGTATAATAGTGCAGAACAGCAACAGCAAATTGTTTTACAAGATGAATTTATATTTTTGCCGTACAAGGTTTGTATGCCAGTGATATTAAGGAACGTATTAGACGCCATTAATTTACATATTTAGGAAGATGAGGATGAATTGCAAGATCTTCGAAATCTGCATAAAGATTTAAGAGATTTATACCAAATTTCGCAAGATCTACACCAAGAAGTCCAAGTACAAGGCGAAAAAGTTGTGCAAGTCCAAAATAATGTAGAAAAAGCAGAGCTTTCTGTGAAACAAGGTACAAGGTATCTACAGGAGGCCAAGAAAATTGGTGCCTTCTCTGCAATAGTTGTTGGAGGAGCAGTGGGTGGCTTGGTGTTAGGTGGGCCCATTGGCGCTGTGGTTGGAATTAAAGCTGGAGCAATACTGGGTGCGTCGGCTGGCGTGGGAGGTTTAATTGTTGGTGCAACATCCGGAGGTTTGATTGGCAAGTTTGCCACTGACATTGGAAACTCTTTGTCTGGTGTTTACTCAAAAGTTACAGCTCCCTTTATGAGCAAGAAAGGTACCAATACAGCAACTAGCGCTTCTTCAACCACCTCCAACAACTAATACGTTTTTGAATCCTTCCGTGTAAATAAGCAAAACAAAAGTTTATTGGAGCATTTGTTGCAGAGCCTGCTTTTGTTTGTCTGTCAAAATCTTTTCCAAGTGAGGCAATACTTGTTGATTAACAGAACATAATTCTTTCATAACTTCAGGCAAAGTTGTTTCTATATCAATGCTATTGATAGGATCTTTGCTTGAAAGAGGATCTTCATCACCTTCATCATCTGAAAAGTCACCACCTCCCTGAGCTAATTGATTCAAATATTCATCTTGTGGCACAAATGGATCTTCATCATCAAAGCCGCCACCTCCATACATCATTCCCTCAAGAGTTGCCTCATTCTTCTCCTCCTCTTTGGCTTCTAAAGCTCGGATATAGGCGTCAATGAGAAGCATAAAAGCATACAACACGAAA